ATCTTGACAATTTAATTTTTTTCTTTTTTTTTTTTGGAATGTAATCAGTTTATCTGTCTTACTTAATTAATTATTGTTTGTGCCTTTACTTTATCCTGATCTTAATGAACAAACCAATCTGCTTGATGACGAGCTGATAAAATTATTAATATCTAGGTACTTTTATTTGGCATATGTTTCTCTATATAATTGAATTGATTTTAATCATACGCATACAAAATGGTAATCAGTACCTAATGAAGTGGTCAAAACGATGCAATTTTAGTTAATTTGTTAATATGTAAACTAACCAACACAATTTTGCAATAATAGTGTGTATAAATTCTTTAACCTTCGCACAACACAATAAGTTTTATTAGAAGAACGTGCAATACATTTTTAATATAGATAAAAATTGTCATTAAAACGACAATTCTATTGTATTCATAATAGAAGAGTACACGTAGCCACTTTTTTTGTGTTAATAAAATTATCCTATATTTGTCGTAGATAATTATTTTACTGACGCGAAATTATCGACGCAGTTTTGAATTAATATTCATTTCACAGTTTAAACCCATTGGGATTTTAAAGAAATATTTTATTCGTTCGCAAATATATACAAATAATTATATTACTTTTTTTATGAATAATCCATGTTTTATTAAATGTTTCAAATGAACAACATATAAACCTTTTTTGTTATTAATATTTCCTGGTATAAGGGCGATTAAAATTATCGTCTGTCAGTTACATTTTGTAACACATACAGAAACTGTATCTAGTATCTCAGCACTTTAGATAATAAGATTTAGTTTTTCGAAAATCAGAAAAAAATTAATACTTCAAAACACAAAATTGTTTAATTATTCGCAACAGTAGTTTCGCTGTGCTATGGCATCTCCATATGGAAGAAATACTTTTAAGATTAAGAACAAATCCTGCTTAGTTGAGACTCAACAGGGGAAAATTATTGGTTTTATGAATAAATACAATAAGTTANCACATTGTGATCACTGTTTGGTTTGGTCATAATCACTCTTAAGCATACCACCGTTCACATTATGTGGTACGACCGGACAGCAGACGAGAGGTATCTGTGGAAATTTTTAAAAATACTTTAAGTGTTTTTCAGCTGATTATTCAATCTTTTTCAAGTGTGCTTAGAAACGACTATATAGTTTTTTGATAAAACTTTCTGGAATATTACAAATAATTTTTTTTTTATTCATTGCGCTTATAAAAAGTTTCCAATATATAACCAGAAAGGGTAGTTTTTCTCCCTCACAGTAAAGAGCATACCGTACTATTTCGACTTTTTTTTTTCCCACGTGTCACCAAATTTTTTGACATCTATACACAACTCCCGGTATACTTCGGTTTCCTGTTAATGAATTTTGATTAGTCTAACGCCTTTTACATCTTTATGAGCTAAGACAAGCATCTCAGCAGTCTGAGATGATCTGTTTAAGAGGAGTACAAACAGCAAACACGACAGTGTGACCAGTAACCACACCAAAAGCTTTCCTGTCGGCCCAACGTTTTGGAGACCTTATTTTTACATAGTCTATAGTGCAGTATTAGTGACAAAAACAAAAATAAAAAATATAAAAATAAACTATATTATTACATACCTATATACATATTTTTAAAAAATCACACAATTTATAATAAATTCCAAATATAACAGTTAAAAAGTTAATTAATTTAATTAAGAAAATCGAAATAAGAATAATACTATAAATAGAAAACTGTAAATGCTCCATCGTACTAAATTATTTGATCCTGATTTAGCCACTATTGCCTCGTGAGCACCCAAATTTATGTTTTCTATTGAGAGAATGTCCCTGAAATAATGATACAATCATAATAAATCTGATATTACTTGTTGAAACATCATAATCTATTTATCTTTATATACACGTAAATAAAATGCCTCTGTCTGTAACATCGAAATAACTGTATTTTTTTATGCTCGCGAATGGTTAATTTCAAAATTCGAAAAAGGTTGTTTGAAGCGCGGCGCTGTACGGGTGCGAAACATCTACAGTGAGTGCGGCGGAAAAGAAAAGGTTAGAAGCGTTCGAAATGTGATTTTACAGGCGAATGATGAGGATACTGCGGATAGAGAAGATTGGAAATGAAGAGGTATTAGAAAGAATAGGAGAAGAGGACTCTATGGAAGTCAATAAGAAATAGGCGAGAAGTTAGTAGGACACCTTCTCAGGCATGAAGGTCTAGTCGGAGACATGTTAGAGGCAGAAACGGGAGTTAGGAAGGGTAGAGGTAGATCTAGATTAGACTATTGTTCGCAAATAGTTAAGGATGTGAGTTGTTCTAGTTTTAGGGAAATGCGAAGATTAGCTGAGGATAGGAAAGAGTGGAGGTGCGTGTCCAACCAGTCTTAGGACTAACGACCTTATAATGATGATGGTTATGCTTATGCTATTAAGACACAAATGACCTTTAAAATAATATTTATATGTCGGTCTGTCTTTCTGTCTGAATGGACTAATACTCGAAACGTTTGACCCGTTTTAGATGAAACTTTTCAATCATTAAAAAGGGATTGCCAGGAATGATTTGGAAGTAATCAAGGCTATTATTTCGCTGTCTGTCTGTCTGTCTGCCTATTTGTGTGGTTGTACGGTTTAATCTTCGAAATGATCGAATCGATTTCGATGAGAGTTCGCAAACGTTGAGGAAGAGTTGCTAGGAGTGATTTAGGTAATTTTTTAATTTATTTATTTTTCGTATATTTTATAAAAGCCATGTAGCGGAATGAACATTATATATGCAACCTCCTATGCGTCAGTGTATTTTTCTCATTCACTCATTTACGGTAACCGATGAAAAAGTTTGACTCAAACTTGCGCGTGATATCATTTAAGTAAATTCCAAACCATTAGCAAAAAGTTATTTTTGACTTGAAATGTGTAAGAATAGTAGCGAAAATACGATAACTAATTTAAAATATTTAATGTTAGATATCTTACCCTTCGTTTCTTGAAGAACTGGTACTGGATAGGACTACTTTCATGTTCCCAGTGACAGATTTAAACGGAGATAGTGACACTGTTGTAGAATTACCTCCATTATTAAATATAAATACATAGGTATCGTTACCATCCAATGCCCTTGTATATGCTAAAACGTTAGGTGCTAAAACCTCTACGTCTAGATTTCCGAAAATGAAGGTGTTCTCTTTTCTCAATTTCATTAGACTTTGGTAGATATGGAAGTGACTCTTTTCTCCTTCTCTACTTTGTAGTTCAAGATTGTTTGTTCTGTATTTTGAACTAACGGGCAACCAAGTTTTATTCGCTGTGCTAAATCCCGCGTTAGCTGTAGAATCCCAGTGGAATGGAGTCCTCTCAAAATCTCTGCTTTCAGTGTTGAACTCTGATTCGAGCCCATTGCAAGCTCTTGGATCTTGTCCTTCTTCCCATGTTACTTCTCCGTCTTCCATTCCAATTTCTTCTCCGTTGTATGTGACAGCTACACCTGGCAGAAGGGTTGTCAACATGTTGTATCCATCCACATTTTCAACCCCAAGACGGCTAGCTGCTCTAAAGTTATCGTGATTTCCCAACTAAAGCGTGAAAACGACGATATACACATAAATAATTTGATAAATGTAGGAGATGCAAATAAATAACTGCTTTTTTGATTCACAACCACGTAGAACGTAGAGTAAAATTAATTGAAAGTTCACGAAAGTAACAAAATCGATTAAAATACAAGAAAATGGAATGGAGTTCGTAAAATAGAACTAAATAAAACACTAAAACTAAAAGAAAAAAAACGTTTGAAAATTCTAAAATGTGTTTCATATCTCAATTGTGGACACTCTAGGTGTTAAAACGCGTACTAGCGGTTTTGAACATTTTTAGATGGAATTTCGGGTTTCAGTGTTTTAATTAACGAGTCAATTATAAGGTTCAAATGACGAGTTATAATTCTTGAATAATATATTTCAATAATAATCCTTACCACCCAATTAGCTACAAATCTCGTTGGCATATTTTGAAACCATCTCTTTATTACTGAAACGACATCATTGGCAGTACTGGTTGATGTAATTTCGTTTAGAATAAAGAAATTAAATGTAAAATGAGCTCCATCAACTGTATCGTTACCATAGTAAAGCATGGTGGTACCTATATCTGTATATGCCTCGGTCATGATCACCCTATCGAAAGAGAGTTTTTCAATTATACAGTTTCCTTCTTAATGGAATAATATCAGTTGTCATAGAAACAAGAATTGATTCTTTTTTTTATTAAATAAAAGATTGACCACTTGGTATTGGTCCTTCAATTAAACAGAAATTGCCAAGCGTTTTAAGAATTTTAACAATTATTTATATAATATTATAATTAATA